AGGACGAGAACAAATTATCAATAAATACAATAGGTAGGTAATTAAAAAGAGGCTGTCCGGGATAAAAGGTCGGGGAAATTTAGACTGCTACTGAAAAATATTGGATAGAGACAGAAATTGTGCCTTGCAACAGGCCATCTACGGACAACTCAAATAGTTTTTACAAGGGTTCTAAGCGTGCAAAGAGCGTGGCACTCTCTCTACATGAGGCATCGGATTTAACGTTTCCATTCTGACCGGACGAGGCTGCGTATTTGTACATACCGCACAGCCAAACGGATGCCCCACTCTGGCAAGGGTTTTACTGCCGGTCGGAAGAAGACCTGTAGTGACCATATTTCTATAGAACCAGTGTCTCGCTTTCGATTGCTGCTGTCGGTGTTAAACTGTCATTTTGAGTGTAACATGTATATGAGGCCATGTATGAGTAAAAAACAGAATAAAAAAAATCACTCTTTCTTTTTTTTTTTCGTTGATATTTCTTGATCATAAAGATAAGCATCTGTCCAAGTTTCATAAATTTCCGAGCTTAACACCAGTCACTTGGATCGAATCACCTTAAATAACCAAACAGTTGTATTTTAAAGTTGTTGATTTCTTCTTGTCGTTTAAACATGAAATATTTGTAACTGGACGTTATGCAATCAATGATCAAATACAAATCTACAGTATTTATAAGCCTATTGCAATTTTATATATGAAAGAGTCTAAATAATATAAATATTCATCATTTTACACATGTTCGAAGGATCGGAATTATTAGTTCTACAAATTGCTGTTAATGAAAGATTTAATGCAATTTCACAAATATTACTTGTCTCTGTAAATTTTCAAATCGACAGACCAAACTATTTTTGTATCGTAAGACAATCGGCTGCAAAGCTCATTTTCCGATTCACTTAAGGTTTCTGGCGATCTTCCTTCTTGTTCATTTACATTTTAAAACTGAAAGATAAATACACATTTTGTTAGTGTACAAAGGTGTTTTGACAAACCGGTAATTTCTTTGCCCGGGGATATGAATTTGGCATTTAACTTCCTTCAGTAATTTTACGATACCCAGTCGTGTAATTTCCGTATATTGCAGATGGTATGTGCAACTTATATTCACGAGAAATACCCAAAAGTGAATTTTACCTTTCTGGAGGACTCCAAATCGGATATCATTGAACACAAATAAAAATAGTATGAAAATAAAACAAGTTGCTTTCTTTACAAAAAGAAACGCATAACGTGAACCTAAGATCGCTGACTTGTCACCAAAAGAGTGTTGCTGAATGTTTGTTTGCTTTTAAATTGAAATAATTGACTGTGAATAGAAGAAGATAATGATGAAGTTGAACTGCCTTTTTCCTTTATTAAACATATTTAATAGTGTGTACATTCTTGCACTGGTCAGTTGAAAGCAATGTTGGATAGTTGTGAATAGAAAAGTGTATATACAGCTACTATTTGAATATACATTTTAAAGCTCGACTATTTCATTTATAACTTGGGATTGCACATCATTTTTCATAATCCTATTGCAAATCCCAGTTTCTACAAACCGGATGTATAATGCAAATTGCACAAACCAATCACAATATACATTTAAGCACTTAGTTTGCTGTATAATCTGGATGCATCTTTTTTATTTATTATATCTTTATATTTTGTTTCCTGCATGGATGCCTTCATATTCTCAACTCGTTATTGAAGTTGTCTGTACATGGTAGATGTTGTATAGATAAATTTAAAGTCCATTTTCCATGTAAAGTGAAACCCTGTGGCATGCAACTTATAAGAAGGTTTTGTATATTTTTCTTGAGAGTAACACACCAGCTTCATTTGGACCTCTTATATAGAGACTTATTTTGGTCTCATAAAACATCTCAAATTTTAAGGACTTCCTGATTTTACTTAAAACAATCCAAATATTCTACAGGGAAACTTTTTAAGAATATCGTATTTTCAGAAGTTTTATGAATACCTGAACATACTCTCAAAAGAACCAATTTATTTAAAAAGAATGTAGACGTGTAGATATAAAAAGATACCAGGATTAACATGTTGTACGCCAGACACGAGTTAAGTCTTTAAAGAATCATCACTGACGCTTGAATAAAAATAGTTAAAAAGGCCAAAGAAAGTACGAAGTTAAGTAATCTATTCCTTGGGTAAAAAATCCTTGGCATTTTGAAAATGTCAAAGTTTATAAAAGGACAGTGACTCAAAAACGAAAACACAATAGAAACAGCTAGAGGTCAGAATACCGTAATCAATGATTACCGTGCTTGAAAGTCACACGTCAAACTCTTACTGCCGTGTTTTGAATTGAGATAAGAAAAGCGAAAATTCGCATTCGCGAGTGAAATTGATATTTATGCATGAACGTGGTATTTTTTGCGCAAGAAATAGTAAATGGAAAGCATACGCATTGATACTCTGGATAAGAATACGCATTTGCGTCATCACAGATATTAATTTATTTAGTTGAATTCGGATGTCAAACTACCTACCTCAAGTGTTTTGACTCCGGATTCATTGACATTTTATCCGGAATTTTTGTGAACGCAAACCGATAGTGTGCGTGTGAACAGGGTGATGTATAATATGAATGAATCAAGACGTGTAGGATCATAGCTGGTTAACACAATGAATACAATTTTCAAAACCGTACCATAGTACAAATATTTAGATGCTATAAGGTTAAACTAATAAAAGAAAAAAGAAAAAAAATTAAAAAATTGAAATTTTGTAATAAATATACATTCCTGTTAGTGAACTGTTAGAAAATAGCTTGAATATGATATCAATAAACACAAATGTCAAGTATTTACGGATGAACATTTTATTTATCAAATGAATCTGTTTTTAAAGTCAAATATACCACTATATGAATATATTGTTAATCCTATATACAAAATGTAAGCAGAGACTTATAACTCCCTACTCACTATGATATGATGTAAAATATTAATTACGTTTTTTGTGAGATGCAAGGATTTAAATTCCTTGTGAATTGAAACCACGCAAGTATTTTTTCATTCACGACCGTTTAAAATTTAGATATTTAGCTAACTTTGGGTACGCATCCCTGCTCATGGGTGCTCGTACGTTACATATAATTTTCATAAATGTCTTATCAAACCTGTGAGACGTTAATGCACGTATACATTACAATTTTTATTATATTCTATAATTATTAAGAATAAATTCAGTCTCAGTTTTACCTTAACAATGAATATTCTCTTAGTCTGGTAGCACTATTAATGAAATAAGATATTTTTTTACAGAAAAAATCCTTTTATTTGATTATCTTTCTGCTTTCCGACAACTGTGTTTCCGACCTTAGATAAAATATTTTTAACAGATATATCGTTTTCTTAATTTTCTTCATGCTTTCCGACATTTTCTCATGCTATGATTGAAATACTAAATAACAAATGATAAACGTTCAGAAATAATCAGGTTATTCTGAGTAATTGTATATCAATAAACTATTCCAAGGTTTATTAAATACTACACACACAACGCAAGAAGGACCGTCTCAAAGCATGAATTATATAATTGCGTTAATATCATTATACTTGATATTTAAACATTCAAATTATTAAAAAACATATATGTTTTGTCAATAGGCAAATGGGTTATTATATTGGCACTAATATCGATTTTGTCATCAGCAAATTAAAACATAACTAAATTTGTATTTTTTTCAAGTGGGATGTATAAAGACACACCCACGTTCGTTTAGATCTATAAAGAGGTTAATCTCCTAACTATCCTTCTGTCTGTCGATACATTTATTTTTGGCATTGCACTACCCAGCAAACACAAAAACATCTTTAAAATGTTTTTAAAATGTTGTGTCTAATGTCATGAAAATATCACAAAAAAACGTGAGAAAAACATTAAATGTATGGTAGAATATATATCGCTAAAACGTTTTCTAATATATTTTCTAAAATATTTGCATAATATAATTAAAATGTTGTAAAGAAATATCATGATAATGTGAAAAACAATGGCGTATAAAACATTTTGATAATCTTTTAAAAAATGTTTTCTAGAAATATTTTCTGAACGTTTGAAAAACATCATGAACATCAAATAATGTTATAAAAATGTTTTTTGGATGTTTTCTTGCAAGTGAGACTGTGCCTAATAAATGTTTTCAAAATGTTTTAAGAAGATTTTTTTGGTTGATATCTAGATCATATCAATATAAAAATTTCTGTACTTTTGATTGAGTTTCCTGCTTTTTTAAATAACAAATCATTAGAAGTTAAATTAATTTATACACAGTGATTAATTCTATATACAAACAAGAATAAATCAGTTGTTTTGCTAAGCATATGAAATTCACAATTCAAAGCCTCTAAAAACAAGAAGTATCTACAAATTTTGACACATCGAAAATGGCAGACACAACTCATCAAGGTCAAGCCACTTACCAAATATGAAGTCATTCTGTTCATAAGCATTACTAATTAAAGTAATGAAAAATTTGAGAACATTCAACATTTTGACATACAATGTATAAGAAACAGGAAACAGGTGCCAGATACAAAAATGATCACACATCACAGTTCATCACTATCAAGCAGCTCATTAAATATGAACTCATCTGTATCAGCAGTTTTGGGAAAAACAGTGATGAAAATATTTGTTGGACAAAATCTGACAAATATAGGTGGACAGACGACAGACAGTGCAAGAAAGCCCACATTCCAACCACAATGGTATAATGTTTAGTTTTTCACTCTCAACTTGTATTACCTATCTTATACACATCATGCATATGTCAACCTGAACATGCATGACATATATGCCATTGGACATAGGCAAACATTATACACATTTTTAAGTTCAAGTTACATTGACTAAAACTTGTGTCCCAAATTCAGATTTTTCAATACAACTTCTCTTTCTAAACTAAAACGCTACACTTCTAATAGGGTTACATCTTAAGTCAATAATCATTGATAATTGGCTGAAGAGATGAACACAAAACACCATTTTACATCAACTATTTGATTTATTTAAGAATACATTGAAAAAGTCAATCAATTGTCTTATTCAAAATCACTTGGAATGTCTTGTAGTGTCTTATATCTTTTTCTTGCTGTGCCATGCTTCTGAAAAAAAAAATAATCTTACATTCGTATATAAACTTCTTGCACATTCCTTTATTATAGAACGATTCACGTTGCCTGAAGGATATACATCCCCTCCCCTTTAAAGTTTTGAAACAAATAACGATGATAGTCTGTCGGAAGGGGACGATAAATGGCTGACCGTGTTAAGAGAGAGCAATATGCCACGCTGAACTTCATTTAGTTATTAAAATAAAACCACATAAAAAACTTTAGACTAGATATGTGTCCAGTCAAGAGTCTTATTTCATTATACTCGTTGATTGTTGTCTATCATATTTTTTTTTCATTTATTGTTTTGTATAAATCAGGCTGTTAATTTTCTTGTTTTTTTTTTAGTTTTCATTAAATGCATTGTATCATGTAGGGGCCTTTAAAAGCCCTGTTACATAATGTCATTAAACATCTTATTGTCCTTTTTAAGTGTTAAACTCTGTAGAGTGACATAGTTTATAACTTGTCATTTGTATCTAAGGGCATATGATACAGTCCTAGAAGTATACTATAGGCACATAATAACTTATCGAAGTGTTACGCATTGTTTTCGCAATGATGATAATAATATAACTTAACTTCCGAAAAACACACAAATGTCATTAAATGAGTTGTTTATATGTATTTGAAATACTTCAAAGGAAAGCAAATATGTTGTTTATGAAAGCACACTGTTGGACTAAAAGATTGATTTAAATAAACAACTTGTTTCTATTTTGTCACAAAAAAAATAATTTATTCAAATATCCAGATATCTTTTCTGTATTGTATGCCAATAATCTTGAATGTAATGCATTGTTTATGCTAAATATTTGAATTAAATATCGAATAACAGTAATTCTGTATGAAAATCTTACTTCAAAAAAAAATTCTCCTGAAAGGTTGTAGACATTCCAAAGAACCTGCGCCACTTCCAAATTGTAAACCTGCATATTGAACTTGTCCTTTGTGGCTTTTCTTTTAGCTCCTGTTAAAAAATAAAAGATACATTGTATGTACATTGTGTGTATGAAGCAATAAATATAATTTTAAGCAACAGTTTATATTATCTTGCTTGTACTGAAGTCTTACATAGTCTTTGTAATGTTCATTAAGCTGTTAAGGGAAATTTAATTACTGTTTTGCAAATACATACATACACTGATTTTACTAGAAAAAAAATCTCCACATTCAAATGGTGCTTATATTAGTGTTATTGTAACTTGTTTGTGTGCCTCGGAAACAAGGTATTGAGTTATGCTTATTGCAATAGTTGTTGTTGGTTTAAGTCTGTCAAATTTCTTTTTCATAATGTGTATTTAATGTAGGCAGTTAGTTGTTTTGTTTCAATTGTGTTGAGAAAAATTTAACATTTGTTTGTCAAGGCTTCAAAGTGGACTATATGGCATTGGTTTTCTCAGTTTTGAAAGCCGTACAGTGACCTATAATTTCTTTTATCCAAGTCATTTAAATTCTGGTGGATAGCTGTCTCATACACCTTATCGCTATTTCAGTATTTGGAAATCTGTCCCGCTTGAACTTTTTACGTCAGCATACGTCATACAATAATACACCTTATCGCTATTCCCGCTTGACCCGAGAATCTATCCTGCTTGAACTTTTGACGTCAAACAACAATCACTTTTCCATTGTGGCATCAGATATTTTTTTATGATGACGTCAAAATTTTAAGGGAACTTGTGACAGTTGTGTGATGTCCAGTAATGCGGACAAATAGCGATAAGGTGTATTACTTTCCATTGTGGTGTCAAATATTTTCTAATATGACGTCCAGTGGCGGATCCAGAAATTTTCATAAGTGGGGGCCCACTGACTGCCTAAGAGGGGGCCCGCTCCAGTCATGCTTCAGTGATTCCCTATATAATCAGCCAAATTTTTCCCACAAAAGGGGGGGCCCGGGACCCCTGAAAAACCCTCTAAATCCGCCTCTGACCTCAACATTTTACGGGAAATTTTGTGATGTCCATGGCCAGTAATGGCGGACAAATAGCGATAAGGTGTATTCAAACACACAAGCCACATATCCTTATATTTATAATTTTTTTATATCAATGAACAAATTCATAATTGGTGTACGTAGATGCTTGAACAGTGGCGGATTTAGGGGCCCGACCCCCTTATGGAGCTACTTATAAGATAAATGCATAGACTATTTACAAGTATCATTCCAAACGTTTGCTTGCCTTGGGCAGGGGCCCCCCTTTTTCAAAACCTTGATCCGCACCTCCAGAAACAGATGTAATTTGGTTCCGATTATGATTGAACACACACAATGAATGCACAAGTTTCATCTTAACAGATTAATCATTCTTACCAAGTGAGTATATATCGCGTAACAAACAATTTTCTTGGCTCTCTTTGTTGATATCCTGTCTTCGTTTCGAAATTCAAATTTCAAAAATCATTTCCGGTGATAAAACAAAAGTCGATTCCGGAAAAGGTCGGTTTTCCGTAAGGCATATAAACGATACGAAAATTGAACTTAGTACAGTTACAGTTTTCATTTCTTTATTTCTAAAATATACACGAACGATATGAATAAACATTAAAGAAAGGTGATTGTTTATTAATACATTATTGCCTAATTTAATGTTGACTCTTTGAATTTTAATTTAAGAAGGAATAAAATCTGACTTCAAGGATCTTCAAGATATCAATTAAGGATTTCAACCATAGTATCTTGCTTGTCATGATATTGATGAAATGTAGTACTATATCTTATCCTGAAAAAAAACTAGCTAATTCCACAAAACGTTGTTTGTGGGGTTTTGAATAAAGTTTAAATAAAATGTTATTTTTATATCCGTAAAATGTTGAATAAAATATCAGTGAGACTATTAAGTAATGTGTATGTCAGAATATTTTATAGAAAACATTTAGCTGATATTTTTCAGATGTTTTATGTAAAACATTTTAATTTTACGTTATAAAACATTTTATTCAAATAGCAAAACTATATTTTCTGTAAAACATTTTTTTGCAGAATGTTTTTTTGGATATTTGGAAAATATTTACTTTAAATGTTGTTAAAATATTAAATACCAATTGAAGAAAATATTATTTTTTTATATTATAAAATATCTACGGGATATTTTAGAACAATGTTTGAGAACATGAATAAAAGATATTAGCAAATAATATTTTGTTAATGTTGTAAAAACATTTTACTTAAATGTTAGAAATAAAACATTTCAAAAACAATAAAATAAACATTTTTTTTATGTTTAAATGATATCTTATTGAAATATTTTGTGAGAGACGTCCATATGACATTTAAAAAATGTTTTTAAAATGTTGTGTGTTTGCTGGGTAGTCATGTCTTCTTTGACTGTCCATGACGTTAAAATACTAAATCCCTGGGATGTGTTTTAGTTGATTTTAGTCTCTGATGCATGATTTTTTATTATTAATTGTTTTGGCTTTTAACTAGCTGTCAGTAACTGCGAGTACTCTCAAATCGTACTTTCTTGTTTATTTGACCTGTTGATACTAATTGTATCGCTTTTTTGTTATTTAATGTTATTCAGGGTTATATCTGGCCTATATCCCAGCTTTGATAAGTGTTTGGTTTAACTATAAATTTTTACTTCGTACTATGAACGTCAAAATTATTTATTTTGTAAAAGTATTTCTTTTCTCTATTGGTACTGTACACGTATACCTAACAACAAAATTATTTTCATTTACCTGTGTTTAAAGTTATTGCTAATGGATGGTATTTTTGTTCGAGCATATTGTTTTTCTTTTATTGTTTAACATTTCTTACCTATATAACATGATACTTTTATTATTCTTCCCTTAGTTTATTTATTTTGTATTCTAAATTATTTACTTGGTAAAAATATTTCCTTTCTCTATTGGTACTGTACACGTATACCTAACAACAAAATTATTTTCATTTACCTGTGTTTAAAGTTATTTCAAATGGATGGTATTTGTTCGAGCTTTAATTGTTTAACATTTCTTACCGATATAATATGTTACTTTTATTATTCTTCCCTTAGTTTATTTATTTTGTATTTACATTGTGTCATAGGTCAAATTTATTTGTTCAGTGTATGTTCAATGGTGTTAATATGTCCTTTGATTGAGTTAAGCTATTTCAGTTGATATTTTATAGTGTGTCTATCTATGTTGTGATGATACACTATGGTTTCAGAAAAAGGGTGAAGGTTTGGTACCATTAAAACGTTTAAACCCGCTGCATTTGTTTGCACCTGTCCTAAGTCAGGAATCTGATGTTCAGTAGTTGTCGTTTGTTGATGTGGTTCATAAGTGTTTCTCGTTTTTTATATAGATTAGACCGTTGGTTTTCCCGTTTGAATGGTTTTACACTAGTAATTTTTTGGGGCCCTTTATAGCTTACTGTTCGGTGTGAGCCAAGGCTCCGTGTTGAAGACCGTACTGTGACTTATAATGGTTTACTTTTATAAATTTTGACTTGGATGGAGAGTTGTCTCATTGGCACTCATACCACATCTTCTTATATCTATCTTAATCATGCGATCAATGTTTGTAGTAAGATTTTTTTTTGTGAAAAAAGCCCCATCGGGACACTTTATGATCATCGTATATGCACACAGAGAAAATAAATAAAACAGTCTCAAGTTGTTTGAATCAGTGAAAATGTGGTTTTGACAAACCGGTAATTTCTTTTTTATCCCTTTTCTTAACAATTAGTTCACGTGCCACTGACTATACGACGAGGGATGTTTTAAATGGCCTTGACTACCCATGAGGGTCGACTGATTATACAACAAGACAACTATCATAAATAGTCCAAACAACGAATTTTTGATTGGTTTGTTTCTCGTTTCTCGTTTTTATATAGATTAAACCGTTGGCTTCCCTGTTTGAATTGTTATAGACTAGTCATTTTGGGGCCCTTTATAGCTTGCTGTTCGGTGTGAGCCAAGCTCCGTGTTGAAAGCCGTACTTTTTTTTTTATTTATAATTGTTTACTTTTGATGCATTGAGGAAGATTAATAAAAGAGGTTTGTGCATACATTTGTAATGCAAAGGAAACAAACAAAAACGTTTTTTTAAAATTTTAACTACCACCAATTTTTTAACAACGAAGTCTGATTGATCTTCAACTTACTAGCATACTTTTTTCCTGTTTTGGCACATACCTAATTATAAACTCATTACATTTGATCCTAAAATAGTCACTGAAAAGGAATTAATATTTAGTATGTCGTAATATATTTCATTGAGCACATAACATTTCCAAACCAGATTTCAGTTATGGATGTTCTAAAATATCTTTAGAAATAGTAAAAAAAATAATTATCTTCTTTGGCTTTAAAACACTATTTAATACTTACATTGTGCACAAAATAACACAAAATATTCCTAAGAATGAGAAACACTTTCTATTTCATATTTTGAAACGACGAAACTTGTATAAAGTAGTTAATTGCAAGGCGAGTGGCGGATTCAAGTGGGGTGTGCACTTATGCACCACACCAACAAACGACAACCACTGAAAAACAAGCTCCTGACTTAGGACAGTCGCATACAAATGCAGCGGGTTTAAACGTTTGAAAAGGCGCCAACCTTCACCCTAAACTGAAACAGTAGTGTAACATTACAAAATAAAAAGACACACTATAAAATATCAATTACAATGGCTTTACTCAATCAAAAAGACACACATATGAACAAAAACAGTAAACATACACTGAACGAATAAATTTGATCTATGACACAATATAAATACAATGGTAATAAAAAAAGATGAAAAACAATGTCAGGAAGACTACCGTAAATTGGGTTATTTTGGTTGTAGTTTTATTTTGGTTTATTTGGTGCCTCCAATGAAAGTGCCAAAATTAAACACACGAAAATAAAGCAAACACTAAAAATTGAGACGCCAAAATGGCGTACCGGTACGACAATTGGTAATGCTAATTGTTGTGGAAAATGTTTTTTGTTATTATATCTTCCGTATATTTCCTACAATTCTATACATAACCAAATCTGCAAATAAATACTATAACTAGGGACAAAATGGCGTTAAATAAAACAACGTACACAGGTATATTTAAATATAATAATTTTGTTGTTAGGAGTACGTAAATATGTTGTACAAAGTAAATAAATTTGGTGTTCACAGTACGAGTACAGAAGTGAAAATTTATCGTCATACTAAATACTTATCAAAGGTGGTACATACTTAAAATAGTCAGACGAGTTATAACACAAAATAAGTAAACATTGAATAACAAATTATGTCAACAGGGCAAATTAACACGAAGTACGATTTGAGAGTACTCGCGGTTTACTAAACGCTAGTTAAAAGCCTAAAACAATTAAAAAATTTAAAAAATCATGCATCAAAGACTAGAATCAATCAAACACATCAAAGGATTTAGTGTTTGTTTTTTAAGTTGTTCAGATATGTGACTATGACCACGGAGGATGTGAATGGCCGGGAGGGGCTTTATTTTTGTGTTCTGATTGTTTCATCGATTATTAAAAAATTGAAAACAACACGTTTAATAATTTCATGCGTCCGAAGCGCTTTCCTGGATTTACCTTCATCAGAAACGCTAAAAGCCAAACATTTGAAATCCGAGGGATGTACAAGTACTGAAACAGTTTAAGAGTGTTTAACGACACTTTTAGTGCAATTGGCTACTTCGTGGCAAACCGTGTTTATCGATAAATTTGACGTTGAGTTTCAAATACATATCCTTGTTCCGGCACGGTATTAAAAACATTTTTTTTTATCAAACTCGAAAGTTTGTGCCGAAAACACCACCAATCCAACACACACAAAAGATAAAAGGTCGTTGACGAAGTCGTTCTGCAAGAAATGCTTGTTGGATACCTCCTTTTTCTCTTTGTTGTTCAGTGTTAGATCATTCTTCTCTCCGTAATCACTTTGCGCGTTTTGTAATAAAAAAAAAAGTTAACAGCATTAGACACATCCATGTTAATATCACTAAACACAAAAAATGTTCTTTATAATTGACAATTAACATATATTTTTTTAAAGGCCGTTTTTGGTTATCCTGGAAACTGACTGAAGATTTGACATGGTGACATTCCCGTAATATTATATTAGAACCCCCCACCCCACCAAATATTCGTATTTGTGTTCTAATCAGCATGTAGTTAATGAAAACTTTGAAATAGACGTTATATGTTGGAAAATGCCTAGAAATCATAAATGTTTTGATCCCTTGTGAAACTAAAATGAAATTCTTTCTTTCAATTATAATGTCAAATTCCTTTTACGAACAGAAATACGTTACTGACGTGATTAAACTCATGTGTATTTCAGTTAATCATCAGCCACGTTGTCTCCTGTTCTGACTTAAAAAAAAATCATAGATATTGTTTGTGTGTATTTAGTGTTCATGAAACTGTAAATCATTCGAAAAAAGTACTAAGGCTTTTCCCCTAGCATATATA